ATATAGTATATTATAGTATCGTTATAAAAACGATAAACTTTTTTTTTTTAATTATATTTAAACAAAAAACCGCAACAAGTTTATGGATAAATTACCAATATTGAATTTGGGTACTTAAAAATTATTTGAAGTCAATATTGCATAATTATTTTAAATTAGAAAATAATCGTGGTTATAATATGATACATTTTATAGGTATCAATCTTTGGTTCAGTTGTTCAGCTATATACTTTATACGGTTGCATCCTAATTGGGTCTCGAATTTAAAATGACTACACTAGATGGGTTCCGAATTATCTGAAAAGCAACTAAAAAACAAAAAAACTATAAAAACATTTTTAACCATACCTGTCATCTAAATAGATCATAAACAGTCTTAAATCTGTTAAAATGAGAAGGAAAATGTTAGTATAATGTAGTACTTACCAAAATATATTCAGGAACTAGTGTAATACCTAAAATAATTCAGGACCCAACTATTATAGTACCTATAAAAATCCAGGACTCAACTAGTGTAGCACCTATAAAACGGCGGTCATCAAAACCGTACAGTTACCGCTCATAACAGCACATTTTACATCGGCCAATACCGTACACATTTATTCTATTGTTAAATAGGGAAATTCGAAAAGTCGATAGTTCAAAATCGCACACATTTGATTAACAGTTTTTTCTCCTTGCATACTTTGCATGTACGGTTTATGTTACCGTTTCGTATGATTCCCACTCATAACCGTTTTTTTATCCTGTGATCTATTTGGGGTGATGTTGCATAGCAAATCGGGGGATATTTTCGTTTTTAACTGTCCGAGCGAGTGCAGCGAGCGAGTGACCCCGCCCAGTCTCGAGGTGCACTCATGTTATTTTAGATAAATCTATACGTTATTGATATCTATCAATGTGTGTGGTAATGAATGGTTTAATTTGGCGGATATATGTGGGATTAAGATATAAAAGTGTTATGAACAACAACCCTATGAAAATTCGGGACCCAACTAGTGTAGTACCTATAAAAATCCAGTACCCAACTAGTACACTACCTGCGATTAGCCCCTATTACTCGGGACCCAACTCGGATGTTCCGCTTTATACAATGTACCTATTTATAAAAAAATTGTTTTTAACATTTAAAGTGTTTGTCGAAAGTAAAATTATTCTTATATTTGTTTTAAATGTAGCTTATATAATTTATTATTATAATTTGTCTAAATGCTTAAATTTTTAAAACTAAAATAAAATATATTTCTATATAAAAACGTTTACTTTATCCGAATAATTCAGAACAAGTAATAATTAAATATTTCAATAGAATATTCAAATGTATTGACATTTTATGTAGATCTGGATTTATCACAAGTGTTTTTAGCTCTCACTAATATTCTAATATTTTATTTTTTTCCTAATTCCAATCCTAGTCATTAAAAAAATTATTTTTAGTTCAGTGCAAAATATATTACCCTTCACATTTTGATGCACCAAGCTCAAGTCTTACAAGCCTAAGCTAAAATCTAGCCTTCATTTCGCTACTTGCTTCATTTTAAAGTTAAAAAAAAAAATTCTTATGTATAAATATGAACTTATTTGAAATTTATATGATTTAAACTTCATTTCCTTTAAATTTCCTTTAAATCATTTTGTATTTAACAAAAAAAACATACTAATACATACAATTTTACCGTAAAATAAAGATATATAGATATATATTGTACCTTTTATTTACATTTACATTGATATTATTTTCCATAAAATACAAAATTAGGTTATTTCATTTTAAAGTATCCAAGTGTATGTATATTATACAAGCAAACACAAAATATATGAATTATACTTAAGGTAATCATCATTTACATTTGGTCAAACTGAATACAATTCAGTTTTAGTAAATTTAAATAAAACATCTAATTACAAGTTTGTATATATTCAACTTAATTTATTATTAAAGTCCATTTACAAGAACTGGATCATAATTGAGGAGTAAAAAGGAAAAAAATGTAGAAGTTTGTATATCAATTGTTTATAATTATATATGTTATGCAAATTATTTCGCAACTTACAAAGAATTCCAAATTATTGAAGTTTGTTATCGATGCTTTTAGAAAAAAAAATTAATATTTAAACTAATTTCTTTAAGACTTCTACAATATTTTTCAAAATGAAGGTCATTAATCTTTTTTTCGACAGTAACTAAGCATATCTCACGCTATATAAATTGTATATTAGAGAACCTAAACACGAATTAAGAAAAATAAAAACACGTATATTTGAATTTTGAGCATGAATAATAAAAATGATTGCATTAAAACGTTTCTTATTAATAAATTATTTTGAGTTTAACCCAAATAATTTCGTTGATTTTTTGTAGGAGAGATTAGATTAATTTATAAATTAAAATATTAAGTAGTTACCTACGATACTTTATAACCATTGAACATTTGGACGGTTATATAAGAACATTAAAAAGCCAAAGCTTAAAATGCAACGATCATGAAAAGAAACAAATACTTGGATACCCAACTTCGATAAAATGTACAATATCATTATTCGAATAAAATGTAATCTCTTTGATACAAAACATTACATTATTACCTTTATTATGTGCTCAATAATATTAGTGAATTTTTTTGATACACTAATTTCACTAACATATAATGATTAGGTATGATAAACAGTGAAATGTATTCATAAATTATTGTTTCCAATGCCATTCAACGATATTTGGTTACACTAAAATGTTATTTACACTAAGAGATAGTGCAAAGCCCCTATGAGATAATATTTTTTAAATTGGCACACAATAATAGACACAAAAAATCATTAATCGCGATGGTTCAAACCTTTTTTTTAAATTTAATATGGTTATAACACGTGAAATACTCGTTAAAAACTCGATTGTTTGGTATTAAACTATGCATACAAATTAGACAGTGTACAATAATCTGTGTTAAATGAACGGGTAAAGAAAAAAAAAAATAATAACAATTGAGTCAGATTTATAGATACTTTTAAAATATACATATACAGAATACATAGCCAATGCATATACCTAATATAAAAATTAATAAATAAATAAAACATGTTCTAACAACAATTATTTAACTTGCAAACACAATTCCAATACAGATATAGATACACCGTTAATTGTTATCATACTGATTATATATATTTTTTCGATTAATTAATATAATGCCTACTATTTAAAAATATTTTGTGACAAAAATTGTTTAATATGGTGTATATACCCCTTTTGATCGCAGAAAAAATTTGTGTACTATTAATTACGACTGCTAGTGAAATTCATCTACAATATAATATAGTTCCATATATGTATGTTGTACGTGTAAATATATTTTCTATCATTTACTTTTTGTTATTTGTTTAATAAATATTGATCGCTTTTATGGAAAATAGTGAATTTTTAATATTAATTATTATTTCAGCAAAAAATACTAAACAATTTGTAATAGGTAATATATATTATTTTATTTGAAAAAAAAAATTATATTCATCATAAATAAGTTGTTATTAAAACAAAATTGACGATCTTCTGAACAAGTATTAGGCATTTGTGGGGATACTATGTTAAAACAAAACACACCACGATAAATTTCTCATTCTACACAAATTATGTAACATATTATAATTGAGCTAGTTCGCATTCGATAATTTAAGATTAATTGTTATAAAATTTATTTTTAGTTTTTACGTAAGTAAGCAAAATATATCATATAATTAAGACCCAAAACTTCCCATATTATATACAAAAATCTTCCTAAACTTATACTATATTATACAACTATTATTTATAGTTAATAGATAATAATATTGAAACATTGAAATTTTCTTTGTTCGTATTGAATTATTTTATGTTGTAAGTGTTCAGTGATATAAAATTGTGTTCACAATAATGGAAGCATTGAAATAATTGAAATAGGTAACCGGAAGGTCAACAACTTTATTTCAACGAACATTTGGTGATCCCAACATAAGTATTATAGTACGACGGAATCGTTTAGGCCTACGATATCGGATAAATACCATTATGTTGCATTTGAAAAAGAGAAAAATGCATTTAACTTATGCTATACAACTAAATGAACATTATAAACAACGACTTGTCGAGCCACATTGCGTGCAATAATGGTCAGACCATGAAGTGTTTTGAAATCTGTCTCTTCTACTAGAAGTGGAATATAAAAATTTAAAAGAAACTCGTAGTGCTTACAAATAAATGTTGTTATGCTATTATTGTTATAATATGTAATTACATTTTTAGTCATAAAGGTATTTTACATTTAAATAGTAGTTATGTAATATTGCGTATAAGAATAATTAAAAAAAAAATAGTTTTGATTATTATATACTGATATTATTTTTTGGTTTATAAATTAGATGAAACGGTATTTCACAAAACGCCGTTCGTTTTAAAAAAATATTATTAATACATTTTCATTATTTTACTTATGTTTTATTATCTTACAATAATAATGTTCTTGATAAATGAGTAAATGGCTCGCGAGCCAATAATATTGTCTTCTGCAATGTCTGCGGAACACGTTGTTTTAGTAATATGTTCGTTGTTAAAGTTACATTTACATAAAGATGGTATTATAATGAATGGTGAAAAAAAATCATGTAACTACATCTTGGTTATCGGTCAGTTTTATAACTGTATGTTTGGTGTAACGATATTATAAGAGGATGAGGAAATTTACATAAAAGGTATCGTTTCCGCAATCTGATATTGATTATAATTCCAGGGTGTTTTTTTAGATCATACAGTTTTAAAAATTGTACGCGAAATATTTTCAACTATATCACCTGATTTGGATCACAGGTTGATGACGCGTGCATGCTGATTTTGTGTCTTGCACAATTTCGCCAACAAAACTTACCCTTCCAGCGGTAATGCCCATGCAAAACCTATTGAGCTCAAGGTAATTCTAGACGCAAACGTGGTTGGTTAAGAATTGCGTGACCAGTGGTCAACAGTCGCCAGCAGCGCGAGGGGTGTACTTTCTCGACTTTCTAAACTCCTTCCGTAGTCTTACCGCTGTACAAATCAAGTGTACAACGATTACAGTGGTCAGTGATCGACGTTTAAGTTTTTACTTTACTAAAAAAATTTGTCAATTTATATTTGAATCTATTATTGTATGTTTTCATCTTATCACGTTGCCATTATACGAATCCAGTACATAAGGTGAATATAAAATAATATTAAAAACAACTACGAAAGGTTAAGTATTTATTGCAGTAAAAATTATATATTATAATAATATATACATTATATACATTTAATAAAATCTAATATAATTAATTACTGTAGTACCTCTTGTAAATTCAATAAACATACGCTTCAAACCTTCATTGCCTAATGTGTTTATTGAATAATTTCATAAAGTAAATAAATAAATATTGTGGCGAAGGTGTATCTATTATACTTATAATTATATAAACGCATGTGCAGTTATGTAAACATAATAATACGATTTCAACGTTAAATATATAGACGTATTATTTATTTTTTAAGTAATTATGTATCAATTATGATTTAGAATTTAATATTTGCTGAAAAATTATTATTTGTTGATATTATTTTTTTTAATAATTTAATATTCAATGATTCTCGAGTTTCATTTACATAAAATAAATAATTAAAACGTTCTATTCAATGAGGGTGTATATTGTTATAGTATTAAACACATATGGTGACTGTTGAACATAATTAATGTAGTGAATCATTTGAGAAAAAATGTATATGCTTAAATTTGGGATAAATTTTGATAATGAGCAATGATATTATAATTTTACTAATTTAAAAAAATTCTTTAAAATTTTTTTTAATTTTATTAAAAATTAGTACAGAAAGTAAGAATACGAACATAGATTTTACATGCACATTACAAATACAAAATAAATCAAAACTAATAATGGTATTATTTTGAACTTTTTTTTGTTTTATGTAATTTATCAAAAACGTGTATTTTATCCTATATTGTTATCCTTTACTTATTAAATTAATTTATTTACCTTTATTAATTTCAAGGACTACATAAAATCCTTCTTTGCTGTTTTTAAATTACTTTAAATGTAAATACATTAAAAAAAAAAAAAAATGTTTATAATCGTTTAAATTGTTAAGCTGAAGAAATGTTGCGTAATTACAAGAACTGTCCTCGTCTTTTAGTTAAATATATAATAAAGTCATCAATAATGATTTATCATATTTATATAACTACAAATTTTAAATTATCAAAATTTAAAAGAAGTAAAAAAAAACATTTTATATTCTAATTTAATTATAAATTGTATAATCAATTTGGATTTGATTGAAAATTCTATATAATTTAGTTCTCAATAAAAAATAATCACATACCTTATTTGTGTTCACAAATATTATACTTGACTAAATGGTGAATCTATATTACAATAAATGAAAGTACCGGCATTATTTTGGTTTTGTAAAAATCATTAGATTTAGGTTTAGGGTTTGAGTTTAATACTTATGAAATTAACGTTCTTATTGAAAAATTTCTTAATTTAAAATACAAATTAAATAATTTTGAGTAGTACCTATTGGTGATTTAGCTAAAATTTTAAGATAAGTTTTTCAATGAGTCCTAAAAGTAACTGCTATACATGGGGAATATAACTTATAACTATAAGTAATAATAAACAATAATAATTAGAAATTGAGAACTAATTATTGCTGTTGAATATAAATGAGTAAATACTAGTAGGCACCAAGTTACATTAATTTGTATTATCTGAATATAATAATATTTTTTATATTAATATTATTATATTTACTTTGTTGAATTTTTATATTATGATCTATAAAAATTATAATTAAAATAAATTAAAATATTTTTTACAGGTCATCTTTGAAAAGTGAATCACTTCAAAGTCTTATGTAAATAGACATTTTCATGACGATATGGTATGTAAATTTTCATTGTAAATAACTAAAATCACTTATTAACTCAAGGTTAATTGGATAACCATTTAAAACACTAAGGCATTAAATGTTTTTCAAATTAACTATTTGACCTATGTATAAATATAATTATACTTATAATCACTTATATAAATTTTTTTTAATTAAATAATTTTTACTGTGATATTTAGATGAAACATACTTGATGAACCGGCAAAATGTTGGCACCAACAGTCATTGTTCAACCGTCATCCCGTCCATCCAGTACAATGGGAGAACGGGACAATATTCCAACAGATCCCAGCGAAGAAAAACATGAACCAAATGTGAAAGAGATTGTAGCCCCTGCCAGATTAAATGTTCCACAACCAGACAACAAGTCTGAAAGTGAAGATGAAGAGTTTCAAGAAGTAAGATAAAGTAATATATTCAGTTTATAGTATCAAGAAAGTCTGATATAATTGTACATTTTGAATTTAAAATTGTAGATGTTCCATAATGTAGAAAACCAAAAGGTGTAACTGTAAAAATTATTCCAATTATGACTTACCCATATAATATGTATAGAATCAGCTAAAACACTGGATAGTTAATTTATCATGTAAAATATAACAAAAAAATTTAAAAAATAACTGCAAAATTATGAGATATATCTGTTTTATATGTTTTATAAGTTTTATAATTTTTAAATAGTATCTATTATAATACGCTTATAATCAAAACACAAAATAATGTATTTATTTTAATTTATTTAAATAATAATAATGGTTTTTTTGGATCTATCATTGACTTCAGTTATGTGCTAACATTTTATGAACTATCGCAAATCCCATCTTTCCATCTTGTGTGGGCTCCATTTTTATTTAAACAATTGGATTAATACAAGTATACAGACTAGATTGATTTATTTATAAACTTTATGAATATAGAAATGGGTGTAAACAATTTTATTATATTTTTATTATATTTTATTATTATTATTATATTATTATATTTATATTATATATATATATTATTATTGTATTATTTATAAAGATGCAGAGTGATAAATTTAATTCTAAAAATTGAATTTTTAAAATTTTAGATAACATCACGTCAGACCCAACAAATGGGACATACTGGTCCTGCAGGATACTGGCAGAGTGTACCTAATAGTAGAGTTGCTAGTCCAGGAAATGATAATGGAAGTGAAACGTCTTCGGTAATGCCAGCTGCAGTTCCTGGATTAGCTGCATCTAGAGTAGCTAAAGAAAAATACAATCATTTATCCTATTGGAAAGCAAGAAAAGTGAGAATAATTATTAAGACAATAATAATTAAAAAAATAGATTTTTCATCATAATGCCTTGTTTACATGTGACGAGCATTCAGCCGAGAAAGTGAACTCGGCCGAACCAAGTCCCATGGGAACTCCAGGAACCAGTACTCGGCCTAGTAATCGGACAAATAAAATGAGTGTACGAGTGAATAGAAACAGTTTCTATTCGCTGGATCGAGTGACTACTCCACTACCAAGACGTACTGTACTCGACGTGTCTAAACTAACAGCCGAGTGACGTGTGAAATATAGAGTGTTTTAAAAGGAACGCAGGATTTAAATCTGTTATAAATTAAATTTATTTTTTTTTTAAAAACACATAATAAATATATCATTCTCTTTAGGAGAAGTTAAGGTTTAACAGCGAAAAACAATATCAGGCACATGACCCTTCCTCTAGCCCTACAGGCGATTATTATTTCTATACAATTTACCATCATTCAATCACATGATGCCCCATCAAGTTCGTTGATGATACGACAAGTTTCTTGCTCAAGTTCCAAGACATTAAAGATTAGGCAGAATAAATCCTGCGTTCTTTTTGACACCCTATACAGTGACACACATCTTAATCTGTTACTCGAACCAGTGAATAAAATGGTGTAGACGCTGACTCGGTCAATTTCGGCACTAGACTGAGCAAGACATCTTGTTTCACAATCGAGGGCTCGTTACATGTAAACAAGGCATAATGTTTTCTAGTATAACTGTTTTAGGCTATAATTTACAAGTATATATTTACTTAACTTTGGTATTATAAATATTAAAAATTATTAAAACTTCAATTTATATGAATTATTAAACAAATCTTAGTTGTAAAATTCTTTATTATTAATAATAATTTAAAGTATTACAATACGAGTAAAAATATCGAAGAATGCAATTAAAAAATTAAAAATTTTACTAAAAAATAACGTTTCATTATGATTTATAGGATATTTATTTTACAAAACATTCAATTTTACATTAAACTATAAGGTTTTATTTTTAATTTTTAATTTTAAATGTTATTTTTTTAAATATTAATAAAACTTAAATTAATTTTCGTCATATTTACAAAAAAATAAAATAATGCGATCACATGAAATTCGAGGACTGACTGAAGAACAGATTGTCAAAAAATTACATTTCACAAATTATCTGAAACTAGTTAAATAAAATCTCATCTATATTGTAAATTTGACAAATTCGATAATCCCAGTAGGACACGATCGATGCAATTTGAAAATAATCAAACTTTCGTGACGAAAATAATTCCAATTCACAATAAATCATTTGAACAATATGTATCAATAAATTATACTCGTATACTTCAAACTTAATTGTGTTTAAATTCTATGGAAAATAGTAAAAATAGTTTTAAAAAAGTGTGAATTCAATAAAATTATAGTTAAAATGAAAATATTTCGAAAATTGTGTAAAATTTTACTTGTTTTTAGATTTTTATTCATTATGACACACAATACATTTACAGCTTACTTAGCAATAAATTGGAACAATAGAAGAAAATTTGCAAATGTAATTACATCCGCGTCCTAATTATTATATTATTTTGTTTAATAATTGTTTATTAACAACAAAAAATGTCTGCAATAAATTATTAAAAAAAAAATTAATACCTATCATATCCATAATGTGATTAAATATAATACTAAAATTTAGTATTATAATATTTAATAATACATTTTGATAAAAATATCATAACATATTTAGTGATAACTATTAATATACGGATAGGAAATGAATGCATTAATCATTGAATATTTTGTTTGTTTTAAACGTGTTACAATTAATATTTCATTGTTTCATCTATACTTTTCAGATATCTTGTAACAAATTAATATAATATAATTTATTTGTTAAGTTGGTAAATGGTAAAAATAAGGATAAAAAATACTTTATTTACTGTTCATAGCATGGAATTAAATATAAAGAATATCTTTACCATATGTATAATCGATCATTGCTAATTATTACTTTGATGACTTTTTATAAATAAATTGTACAGTTATATTTACAAACAGCTCTCAAACAAGGAAAAAATCTAAAAATAATTAAATTCATAAAATGTAAATAATTTATGGTATAATGTTTAAAAGTGGCTAAAATTATAAATAAATAATTTATCAAACATAATAAGTTTAAGTTATATTAAATACAAAGCTATATTAAAGCATTTTGTAATACAAATCTTATTTATTTGCAGGTAACATTTTTTAAAAATGGTGATTTATACTTTCCGGGATTAGAACTGCGCTTCCGACCCGGAAGAGATATTAGTAACTTAGAAGCATTATTAGACAAATTATCAACACGAATGGATTTACCTCGTGGTGCACGATATTTATTTTCTATGGATGGCATCAGGGTTGTCAGTTTAGATCAGTTAGAAGATGATCAATCGTATGTGGTATCATCTTATAAAAGTTTCAAGGTATTTTCACAATAATAATCCTAAGAGGAAAATATTATAATAGTTTTTAAATCGTTACTATTAAATTAATGAAAACTGAAAATTCATTAATTTAATCATAGTAAAATTAATAAAAAAAAATAATAATAATAATAATTAAATAAGTAGATTACTTTTGCTGAACAATTAACTACTTAAAATGAAAATCATTCAGCTATTTATGTAATTGTGAAGTTAGTTACTATTTATTTTTAATCTAGTATATAAATTTAAAAAATGATTATTAATTACAGTTGATACATTTCATTGTATTTGGTAATTTGTAGGATTATCATCTGAGGTGTAAAGGTAGGAAAAATATTTCGAAAATTGTAAAACAATTTTTCTAACATTATGCAAATAATATAGATTATTCACAATGCAATTAATAGTATGTGTATTACCAGACAACTTAACCTTAAATGAAACAATTTAAATATTACTAAAATTATTTTAGGGCTCCGACTCTTAAGAGTTCGAAGGGCACAATGGATTTTATTAATCGTATTGTTATATTATATTATTTTATTTTTTTTTTTTTAAATAAAATATCGTTTATTGAATATTTACAATCTATACTATTATATGTATAATGAGTAAATTTGATGGAGGAATGACAGTGATGAGACGGTGAAAAGAGATGCTCACAGTAGAGCTACCTTTACATGAATTTTAAATTAATTTTGGGTGTTGAGAAGATCTCTGGATCATTTCCAATTAAGGCGTCGGGTAGGGTTACCTGGAAGTGTATTAGAGTGAAGTTGAGATATAAGCTGGTTTGGGTGGCTTTGCATTTTGAAGTGGAGTCTTGAATAGAAATTGGCTGCGGTCTAGTTGATGGATGGGACATTGAGGTATTAGTGTAGAGCGGCGTTTGTGACGTACCATGGGTGACTATGCGAAGGCAGATGGATTGGAACGATTGAATTGTCCTGAAAATATTATTTTTTATATTCAAATAAATTAATACTTAAATTTTAATTTAATTTTATGAACTTTAAGTATTAGGTTTATTATGTTAAAGCAACCCTTATGAATATGAATATTATTAAGTAATAATTTATCATTATGTGTTACAATATTATAGCCAAGGCTGGGCATTAACGAGTTAAAAGTTAAAATTAAGTTCAAACGTTAAGTTAATTTTAATTAAGTTAATTAATTCGTTACTTTTTTTTAAGATTAACGTGTTAACTTTAAATTAATTTTATTTAAAAGTATCTAAATTAAGTTAATTTTAGTGCAAAGAATAATGAAAATTATTAACCCGTCATTGATCGCGTGATTTTTTTTCTACATTTGGTCATTTGAAATAAACGATCAGTCGAGCGGGGTAAATATTCTCCAAACAGATAAATTTTTTACACGAGTGTGTACAACTAACTAAACTAGTTTTCAATTAAATAAATGTCATGGAGTGATTTTGATGAGCTACTCAGAATTACAAATCCGTTTGGCAGATAATGAATTGGATACACATATTTATTAATAAACTAGGAGATTATTTACCTCGTGCAATCAGTGACGGGTTAAATGAGGTTTTTAGTATATTTATAATTTACTATTTTAATATGCATTTCCTCTAGACGAAAATAATATGAAAAATAACTTTAATAGTCATTATATGGGTTATATTTTATCATTATATTTTTATAACATTATTGTATAAACAATATAAATCATAGATAAGGCTATAAACCCATTGAAATCCTAAGACTATTTTGTGAAAATAATAAATACCATGAGAGCGAGTGTCGATGAGGGATTGATCACAAAACAACTGTGGTATAATTTCCAATATTATTTCATTATTTAAGTAGCATGTATTTTGTTCACATCACGTTCATATCTATTTACACATATATGCTATATAACATAAATGAGATTATCGATTATCTTATTTATGTTACCTAAATGTTATGTGGTGACTTTCAACAAAAATTGCTGTAGTCATGACTCAACTTTTTATTATTTACCATGTTTAGCAACAGTGGAAGTACAAAATTGGTAAACATCAAATAATTGCATAATATAATAATTCATAAGCTTATAAAGACAACTTCTATAAATATAATTAAATATCACTTTATTATTACCCATGTACTATCATTAATTACACAATCAATTCCTCTGGCTTCTTTATTTAAATTTACATTTATATTTGTTTTTTAATAGTTAATATTCTTAAATTTTTATACGTATGACTAATTTAATCGCATTGTTTAAAAGACAAAGGAAGAATATAAATAAAATATTTTTTTATAAATAAACTAATATTAGGTGAAATTCTTTAGGACTATTTTATAATCAATATCCAAAGATCAATGATATAATATAACTAGTTTTTGATTTTTAGTTATTTTTTGATGTATTAAAATATAACTTGTATAGTTGAATCAATTTTTGTTATTTTTTTGTCATATACACCTATAATTACATAAATCTGACTTGAAATGCATAGATTCGATTCTACTATAATATTTTTTTAGAAAATTAAATTGTATATTATATACAAAAACCTAATACTCGTAGACCGGCCTTGCCTATATTACTAACATTACGCGTCACGAGTCGTGATAAAGGGCGAGATTAAGTGACTGAGTGACCAATGCACGCACGCAATTATTGTGTGCGCGTGACAACACATAACCTGTTAAAATAATAATAATTACTGTAGCACAATTGTGGAATTGGGGACAGTTGTCCGAAAAATGATAAGGACTAGAATCAAAAAACGGCGGCATAAAATGTGTTTCCAACATAAAATTTCTAAAAATTATATTATAAAATTATTTTTTTGTTTAAGAAGTTATACTGTTGCATTTGAATGATAATAATTATATTTTTCGATAATAATTATATTCAATTTAAACTATACTACGGTTCACATTTTTTGACCCAACAATCCCTGTGTATTTAGCATAGACATATAAAGACATAGATATATAATATTATAGTGCCTAATTTAATATCTAGAATTTCCTATTTAAAGATGAAATTAATTTCAATTAATTTATTTAAATTTAAATAATGTTCAGGATTTTTTTTTTTTACATGAGTTTTAGTACCTATTTATTTATAAGCTAATTTTTAATTATTGTGTTAATTAGTTACATATAAAATAACAGGTATCAATTATATGAAATAATTTATAATAATATATTTAAATAATACATTTTTAAATACTTATTTTTCAGTACACACTTAAAACTAAAACGTAATATTTTATACTATTTACATCATACTAGCACATAGAAAATTAAAAAATGTATAAAATACATATATATTTTAAGAAAGGTTTATATACAATTAAATTTTAAGCTAGATATTTTTAAACATACATGATATACTACATAGATTTATAACATGGACATAAAGAAGAATTGCGAGAGCAGAAAAGCATTACCTTTCTCTAATTACATTGGTTACTAAAATAATACAAGTCAAAGTTTTAACCAGAAAACATGATTTAATGTTATACATAATTATGTTACCATAGTTTAAAATTTGGTCCATTTTTGTAGAAAATAAATATAAATGAAATAAAAAGTAAAAGTAATCAAAGTAAAATAAAATAAATAAAAAGTAAAAGTAATCAAAATTTTTGTTGAAAACAGTATAACCTATTAGTATTTTTCCCGCTTTGAAAATCGAGGGACATTGTATAACTTTTATTAATATAAATTATATAATTGGAATAGGTAATTTTCGATTTAGTCAGTTGATACTGCTTTTTCAAATTTCGGACCTTATCGTTTCTTAGGTCGTTATCATTTTTCGGACAACTGCCAAACACTCACAATTGACTATTCTCTTATCAATCACAATAAAATTAACAATGTGTTCATGTAAATTTTAAGGTCTATGGTTTTATACATACCATTATGTTTCACTGTTTACATTATATATATAGATTATAATTACTTATAAAAACTTAAAATATGTAATATTTAATATATTATATTAATATTAAACGTATAGTAAGTGTAATACACTTGCAAACTATGTAAACAAATGCGCTATCTTGGCTTTTACAAAGTACTAAATTCACCATTAACATACTAATTAGTAATCAAATAGAACACTAGATCGCGTAAGTCTTATACATGAACTATATAGTATATTAACATATGTACAAATGGTGGAAATATAAGTTAAGAATAATAATTCATAGGTTATAACATTATAAATTTATTATATGCTGATTCCAAACGATAATTAAAATCTATTTAAATACAATACACAAGATTTCACTTGCAGATAAAATTTTAAGTTAAAAATTAAACTATTTTGACTATTTTGAATAAATATTTACTTAAATATATCTGTATTTAAATTAAATGATTAAAAATATTTAAAATTTATTTTAATTAATAATATTACAATTAATTTTTTTTTTTGGCCCTAGGGGTGGGTTTGAACACCTCCTCCCCCCGTATGTACGCCACTAGCTTATTATTATCTGCGTAGCTATACACATAAAAGGTAACGAATACGACCACTATATCCGTTATCTGCAAGATTTAAATATAGGCTTTATAATAGCTTTTAACATATTATTCGACATTATACTTGAATAAACTAATTATTGAAATATAATATCGCTTATAAAATTCACATAAAATATTAAAGATTTATTTTTAAAATGTAATTTTGTTAATTTAAAAGAGGAAATAATTTAATATTTTTTATTGGAATAATTGTGTAATGTATAATTTAATACTGATTACCTCTTAGCAGTTAAGACTTAGCTAAACTGTTTATGTATATTTCATCATGTAAAAATACAGGTTACTGGGTTATTTGGTTTAGTGTCGTTTGTGGTAAAACAATTTTTTTTAAATTTTGAGCAGAAAAAATAGTTTTTAAAATGCTAGTTAAAGAATTTTATAAGATTTTTTTAACTGAAGAATCTACTGTCAAATACCTGCAAGATTATGACCTACTACCTTGTGTAAAATAATATCACAAATGTGGCAATG